CACCAGGGAGGGCCCCAAAAATCTTTTAAAAATATCTTAAGAAACCTGTTGAAGTAGTATCGATGATTTGATAGCTACTCTAGTGGACCACTATCTCGCCGTTACTTGACCAGACCTCCATGTCATCGCAACCAGCGTAATGTCTCTTTAATCACTGCAAATATGAGGCCTACACAGATCCCCACCACGGTGGCAAAGTAACTGAGATACCACTTCTTGGGAGCTGTGGTATCAATAATTGATTATTGATTATCAATAATTAATACAAAGGGCCATTTGTAAGTCACATAAAAATCGAGCCAGAACCTGAACTATCTTACCCCAAGCCTTTGGAAGGGGATAGGACCCTGAAATGAACTCTTACATGAGCAAGTAGTTCATCTGAAGCAAGGAGATACAATCCATTGTGCTTACCGTGTCATACCAACAGTTCATTGTCAAGCTTTTTCCTGTGGACTCTGCATCTTGCAACACACGTTAGTCCAAACTACGATGTGCCACAGTATAAACATCACACTGGGTTTCCAAGGTTTAGTTCAAAAACTAAAATGCAAAATACCTAGCTCCTAATTTTAAAATTATGTGTCAAAATGACCTTTTGGGTATACTGCATTAAATAATATTATTGAAATAAATTTCATTATTTCTCTCTACTTTTTATAGATATGAACACCAGCGTGTTTTATAGATATGAACACTAGCACTACTTGAGACCAGGAAATGCAGGGGGAAGGTATACATAGCCTTCTGCAAAAGGAGCAGAGGTTTATAGGAGTTTATGTAGACTTTATAACACAAGATTTCCCATGCCTGCTGACCTTGTCCTTAACAGCATTTACAAGCAGCATTCTTATCAGCAGGCTTCACTTTATTATCCCACTGAGATGCAGTCTCAATAATTTAAGCATTTTCATGAGCCACATTCTATATTAAATGTAGTGTAGTCTACAAGTGCCTTTGAAAGTCTTTATCCTGAATACTCCATAATCATCTAAGATTTCTTAAATGATTCTTATAACTTGCTGTTAACAATAAAATTTAAGCTTTATTAGCTTCACAGGAAACCACTTTGCTGGTCAATCTTCCCCTTAAAAGGACATAGTCTCTTTGTGTCTAGGTTTTGGGAGAAGGTTGGCTTATTTTCCTTTGCCACTACTACAAAATGTCATAACAACATATGTTTTGTTTTGTTTTTAAGTGAGTATACTTGGGAGATTTTTAACAAATTGCATTAAATTTCTTAATTTGAGGAAAATGAAAGTCTTATGATGCTAAATCCTTCTAGACATGAACACAGCATCTATTTTGCGTTCAGTCACATACTCTGTATGAGGAATTTGCACTCCAATAAGGCAACCAAGCTTGTGTGCAAATGGCCATGATAGAAGCAAAAGGGAGGCACAAACTGGAGGGAGCGGATCTAGAAGGAGAGCCGCTCTGTTTAGGACTGACACACATATAGCAAAAGCATAGTAAAATCAGCTCTGTGGGTCTGCAACGCAGAGAACTCCAGCAAGGAGGCAAGAGGTAAGGAGTCATGAGGCCCAGCTCATCCACAGCTCAGCACAGGAAGAGACCTGCATCCTCCAACGCCCAGGGTGGAAACGCCCATGTTGCAGCAAGACAAGATGAGGTGAGAGCTGGGGTTTTCTGTATGTTTTTTAAAGATTTATTTATTTATGCATATAGAACTGGGGTGCAGGCCAGAGGTGCAGGGGTGGTGAGCGGGTTCACCGGAGACACAATGGGGAGCAGAACAGGCTGACTGATGAAGTACACTGCTGAGGGGAGCAGCGGGCGGGCCAGGAGAGGTCTGCCATGCCATGTGGGTCATCTCGGGGCAGGC